ATTATTCATTTTTTTTATTAGTTATTATTAATTAAATTATCGCGATCTAGCGTTGTCAAAACTTCCTTGGTTGAGCCATTTGCGGATCTCCTGAATAGGTTCTGACCCAGGAAGCTTTACAACCGCCTCCCGGTATAACAATCAGCTCTTTTTTTAATACTAAATTAACGGGATCTAGCGTTATCAAACCTCCCTTGGTTAAACCATTTGCGGATCTCCTGAAAAGGCTCTGACCCAGGAAGCTTTACAACCGACCGATCCGTATATTATTCCTAGCTGTCGAGAGTAATATTTTTGCGAAACACGGCTGAAAGCCTCGAAAATTCATTGATTTTTGTGTTAATTGTTAAACAGCCATCGCCGATCGAATACTTTAATTCTATTCGTCATAAAATTTAATTTCCCATATACCTGAGCGACGTGAAATTCAATATTATTTTTTTGAAACTTCAGTATCATTAGACCGTCGTACATCATTGATTTACTAGTCAAAATGGTTTTCTTTTACACATAGAAGACTCCGAAAATTCCGTTTTGACCATTTTGATAATCATTCAACCATTTTACTTCACTAATTTTGATTATTGGAATATGTATTTTCTACAGGGAGCGCTGTAGTTTTCCGCATTAATTTTAGTTCTTTATAATTCACCTGCTACATTTAACTTAATTTTATTGTTGAGAAATGCATTTTCTCTACACCAAGAGCGTTGTAAATTTCCGTATAATTTAATTTTACTTGGTAGTTTCTTTTTTTTTAAATCACCTGCTTTATTTAACTAATTTTATTTAGTGAAAAATTAATTTTCCATATACAAGGTGGAGCATAATTGCTTCCTGAATTTTAAATCGTTTATTTATTTCAACTTATTTGTTTTTGAAAATTAATTTTTCTTTTAGTAAATTTTTTTCCGTATACATAATTGCTTCCTGAATTCTGAACTGTTTATTTATTTCAACTTATTTGGTTTTGAAAATTAATTTTTCTTTTAATAAATTTATTTTCTGTATACAGGGGGAACCTAATTGTTCCCTGAATTTTAAACCGTTTATTTATTTCAACTTATTTGTTTTTGAAAATTAATTTTAATTAATGTAAAAAATTATTTTCTGTATACAGGGGGAATCATAAATTCCCGTTTAATTATTTGATTTCCTTGTATAACTCAACCGATCTTTGTGACCGGTGTTCTTGTATTACGAATTTGTTTTCTGTATACCGGGGAAGCCAATACCGGGCCGAGGTGTTATTTTTTTGGAAATATATATTTTGTTATTTATCCCTGTGTTTCTTTTATTACCGGTTCTTGACCGTTTTCTTTCAGGGTACCGTAGGGTACAAGGTATAAAGGAGATTAATGCTTTAATCCTAATTTAGTGGGTACCTTTAGCAGTGACCACCTGGAAATGTTTTTTTTTACTACACTGAGTTTATCTTGAGTGCACTCTGGTGTGCTATAGGATCGCAGATCAAACTGTGTTACCAACACTAGCACCCGAGCCACCCCTATTCTGAACTCACCATCATAGAGCCATACAGACTTCCTGATTCATTGTAAGTGGAATCGGAAGCCTGTCATACCTGGATTATATTTCACTTTTTGTACACAACCGCAACTCACTACACACTATTTTATATTATTAATAATTTATTTATTTATTTTCGCAACTCGCTATACACCATTTCTTTTTTATTAAAAAACGCTTGATCTGAGCGGGGATCGAACTCACGGCACGTCCATTATCGTTCTACGCTTTCAACCGCTAGACGATCTCGACCAAGGAGCCACTTGAACACTTTAAACTAGATACGTTAATAATATATTAGGATTTCAAAAGAATTTTATTAAAAAAAAGAGAGTGCATATAGATGGATATTAACTGGTAGATTGGATAAATGATTAATTAAGATGGATGTCCACTGTACGTTAAAACACTAATGAACTTAAAATTAGGTCATCTGGGTATCAATATGCAGCTGTCAAATTTAAAGATCAAAAACGGACGTACACTGGATATCGGATATACGAATATGGACGTTCTGACCCTCAAATTTATCTAAAGTGGACGTCAATTTGACTATGTGTGTTGTCTGGGTGCGGACATTCGGCGGTTGCATGGATGTTGTGGTTACGTTAAATAAAAGTACATTGTATGCGATGTTAAAGATCCTAAAACTGCAACTAATTAATTTGCCATTAATTAACGTGTGTTTGTGTGCTAGCTGGGACGTCTCTACTTACTGGCCTATACATCAAAATTTATAAAAATGCGTTTTTCAAATCCACCGAGGTACCTACTTAGGTAACTTATTTTAAATTTGTTTGCGTGTCTATAACAGAAATTAAAATATTGGCACTATTGGGATACCCTGTATATCAAATTGCTATCTACCAAAATAAGAGTGACATAGGCGCCGATTCCTCGGGGCTCTGGGTGCGCAAGCACCCATAGCTGTTTTAAACTGGGTGCGGAGCACCCATAGCATAACGTTGACAAAAAGTGCCATTAAATGAAATAAAGAAGCTGTTGTGGCCCAAGTTGGTAGAGCGACAGGGTGCCTTAATGCGGCATCAATTTTTAATTGGCTGTCAGAGTTGCAGGTTGCGATAATCCTAATGCTCATGCAAAATAGTAATAAAGCTTTCTTTTTAAGACCCAACTCAACTTTTTTCTTAGGTTGGAAAACGATTTTTTGTTCGAAGAATACAAGACGCCACTTTAAATTTCTCTTAATGTCAGAAATTCGTAACACGATGAGTTTAATAAAACGTATGTCTCGAATTAGCACAGTTGCGTTTTAGCTTTTAAATACTATAAAAAATGGTGGAAAGTCCATAACTTTTAAATATTTGTTAAATATCACTTATTAAAATAATAGGCATTAAAAGTAAAACAAACTATAGACTTTCCACCATTATTTACCGCACTCTGAACCCATTTTAAAGAACAATTTCTGAAAATATCGTTCAGAGCTCTATTTTTTGTGATAAAAAAGTCGCCGTTACTTGTCATTGACAATCCACTGAACTTGGTTTATTATTCTTGGTGTATACAACCCTATGACGTCAAAAAAGAACGACTAATAACAGTCTACAATTATTAAGACAAGAGCTCTGTACATATATACATATTATTATGCTACTGAGGAAATGCTTGAGGGGAGAAGGGATAACATGTGAAAGTTGCTATAGATCATTTAGAGTCAGAAACAGCTCTCTAGTAGTGCTCGCGAGTAACCCAAGTCATTTACTAAAAAACGCTTGGACCCGTCAATTTTTGATTTTAGGGAGAAACATTTTCTTGCCATTTTCACCTCCGAACGGAAACCCTCTAACGGGGGTGAGATTCACCCCTAAAATCTTAAATCAAACAGAGGTCTAATGATATCTTATTTTAAAATTATTTCTACCTAGAATATAACCCCCTACGTAGCCCATACAGTGGCTCACCAAAAGTACAAAACCGGTGTAACATAATTTTTACACTGTTATTAAAAAGAAATTTTTTGTTACAATTCTAGTTTTATTCCTGTGGCCTTCAATTATTGTTATCAGATGATATTCTTTGGTCGCCGTAAAGTAGTGTTAATAGAACGGCTCAACTCTTTAACAATCAACATCAAAATTGACAAGTCTATCGAAAGTATATTTTGGAGTTAGTCCAACAATTTTGGGAAATGGGGTCAGTAGCTAACAAAAAACGTGAAATGGATAATTCTGTATTAAATAAAGCTACAGAGGTGGCGATTTTAGGGCATGTTATTCAAGAACCAGAACAAAGACAGTTGGCGATAACATCTGGTATTAAGAGAAGTGGCATTCAGAAGATATTGAAAGAACACAAGTTTCATCAATCAATACAAAATATATCTGGAACAAGAACTTAACGAAGACGATATTGATAGGCGCTTACAATTTTGTGAAATTATGACTGAACGGGCAATAAATAATCAGCAATTTCTTTTCAACGTGTGTTTTTCTGACAAATGCACTTTTTTCTAAATGGTACGGTAAATCGTCACAACTGTCGTTATTGGTCTGATTCAAATCCTAGAATATTTCATGAAGTGCATACGCAACATCCAGAAAAACTGAATGTTTAGACTGGCATTTTTGGTAACCATATAACTGGCCCCTTTTTTTACCTAGAACTTTAACCGCAGAAATATTATTAGAAAACGTCATTTATCCAGCATTACTAGAATTGATTGAGGATGACGATCAGTACATAGCAAATAACTTAATAATCCAGCAAGACGGTGCGCTAGTAAGCATATAAAGAAAGTAAAAATCGTTAAAAGATCATGGCTAGGAAGACAGTAGCTATTTAAAACTGGGGGGTTATAATCTAGGTAAAAATACCTTCAAAATAAGATATCATTCGACCCCTATTTCCATTTAAGATTTTAGGGGCAAGTTTCAACCCGGCTAGAGGGTTTCCATTCAGGGGGTGAAACTGGCAAAAAAATGTTTCCCCTAAAATCAAAAATTGACGGTCCCGAGCGTTTTTTCGTAAATAACCTGAGGTTTTTTCGCATGTCCACCTTATGTAGGTACAATACCCCATTATATGTGTATTAATAAATCATCAAAAATCTCCTTCTAAATTCATGATAGTTAATAAATGTTTGATACTGTGTTTCTATTTATTTCATGGGAACTCCCGTCTGTCGCTTCAATCCTCAAAACTCCAGCAATTTGACATTTAACAATACATTTTTTTCCAAGAATATTTTCAAAAAATGAACGCTTTAAAATGGCTTGGTGGTGACCCTAAGTGAGGTGTGGAGGGGGGGAGCCCCCATTTCTCGCATAGAGGCCGGGCACCCAAAGCAATTTTTGAGTTCCGGCACCTAGGTATGAAGAGTGAAATTCTTTTGTGTTATAGGTACAAAACCTAGTCCTCTCTCATAACAACAAGAAATGTTTTTAGAAAAGAAATTTGTTATTTATGTAATTAAAACTTATATTAATTATTATTTATATAAAATCACAAATTCATCGGCATATATAAATTATTTCTTCTCTTTCACATTTCTGGCACATTATTTCGTAAATGGTTTCGTTGCGCCATCTACAATTACAAGTTTCTTTCACTTTTCTGGACGACATATCGAATCCACGACCACAGCACATAGTATCGCAGTTAACTGCATCTTCACAGCGCCGCCCAACGGTGAGTGGACAAAAGTTTGGACTATTTTCTAAATAGACTAAATTTTTCTTGGCCCCTTTAGTGCGGAGTTTGTAGTTGTTACCGGAATCCACCTTGATGGCGTTGTGGTAGTGATTTTTTAATTCCTTAACTATCTGTTCAAATGGACGGATTTTTTTGAAACATGTTTTATAAGTACATGATCCTAAAATTAAAAATAAATTATTATAAAGATATAATGATATTTAAGTACAAGTGACTAAAATTATCTAGGTAGAAACTTTGATCGAAAAACATGTTATCGAAAAATAATGATCGAAAACATTTAATCGAAAACAATATGATTGCAATTGAAAAATATATTGTACAATTTATGGAATACAATTTGATCAAAATAAAAATGGACGAAATTACACAAGATCAAAAAAATACTCAATGAAATAAAATTAATTAAAAAAAGGGAAACATTATTTAAAATTACCAATGATTGAACTTGACGAATTGTATCCTTGTATTAACTTTTGACTTTCGGAGTATCGTAGGTGATTTGTCTTAAAATTTTGAGATCCGTCATTCCTTGTTTTTTTTTTTAAGTACCTAACAAAATTTATTTGAGTTAAAAGCCCCTTTTGTCACGATTCAACGCAATTATTATTAAAAGTGTATTGTTTTTAACATATAGAAATTCCAGATGCTTTGTTTAAATATTGGTAACAAATGCTGTCTTCTCTTTAGCCTCATTCAGGTGACTTTAAAGTAATTGACAAAACCTTGTAAGTTTACAGGAAATAAATGCTAGTGCTTTCCTACATTTTATCGAATATTATCGAAACCTGCACATTGGTACCTATTCATATTACTTCTTTATGCTAAAAGCTTAAATTTTTCGATATAGGTAATCTTTGACCAAAATAAAAATAACAACGAGAGTGTTGTACTTAAGGGAATATATTTCTAACTGAGTTAGTTATAAGCGGGCTCGAAGTCTGTCGAAATAAATTTTTTCTACACCCAAATGGGATATTAGCTTATCTACGCAGAGACTACAAAACGAAAAAGTATGTCATTGCGTTCAACTGAACGAATAAGTGACAATCCTGTCAAACTAATTGTCAGTATATTTTTTAATTATTAAGATTAAATATAAATGAATATTAGTTATTTTTGTGTAAAATCCATAAATAATCGTAGAAGCATTTCTATTTTTATTTAAACAATATTAAAAACAAATTAATCAAACTATATGAAACTCTTTTTATTACGAGTCTTAAAACCAAAATCGTAAAAGTGGCCGTAGAGGCAAGGCAGAGTGCTTGATTTTATTTTTCATATTTATTTTATTTTAAAACTGTTAGTGGGTCGTAGAAAAAACATACTGTACAACTCGAGTGGATTGTCCATACCGGACTCTGACTCCGCCTACGGCGTGGTGCCCAAATTTCGTCTTCGTGCGATATGGCCATCATATCCACTCTTGTTGCACAAACTACTATTACTTGTTTGCTAATTATATATATTTTTTCAGTTCTGTCAAAATTGTAACATACAGATTTTTAGAACAGTGAAGTTGCGTCCCCCCCCAATGATATTTAAATAAAACTATGTAAAATGTTCTAGTGATTCACCAATATGCACAAATATACACAAATATGCACCAATATGCATCAATATGCACCAATATGCACCAATATGCACCAATATGCACAAATATACACCAATATGTACCAATATCCACCAATATGCACCAATATGCCCCAATATGCACAAATATGCACAAATATGCAGCAATATGCAGCAATAAGCACCAATATGCACCAATATGCACCAATATGCACCAATATGCACAAATATGCACCGATATGCACCAATATGCACCAATATGCACCAGTATACACCAATAGGTACCAACATGAACCAATATGCACCAGCAATAATTTTTTTGCACCACTTTCCTTGAGAAACTACAGCTAATTCTATATGGGGGGGATGGGGGAGGGAAGTTTGGGCGAATAAACGCTGCCCCCAGTGATATTTCTATGATTTACTATTTTACCGTTTTACCTTTTTACCGTTTTACCGATTTACCGTTTTCTAGAACGTACCGTTCTACAATCGAGCGTAATCCTCTAAGTCAGAGGTGTGTTCGAGGTTCGTCTTTCTGCGCATCTACTGAAGAAATACTAAAGAAATACTGAAGAAATACTGAAGAAATACTGAAGAAATACTGAAAAAATACTGAAGAAATACTGAAGAAATACTGAAGAAATACTGAAGAAATACTGAAGAAATACTGAAGAAATACTGAAGAAATACTGAAGAAATACTGAAGAAATACTGAAGAAATACTGAAGAAATACTGAAGAAATACTGAAGAAATACTGAAGAAATACTGAAGAAATACTGAAGAAATACTGAAGAAATACTGAAGAAATACTGAAGAAATACTGAAGAAATACTGAAGAAATACTGAAGAAATACTGAAGAAATACTGAAGAAATACTGAAGAAATACTGAAGAAATACTGAAGAAATACTGAAGAAATACTGAAGAAATACTGAAGAAATACTCAAGAAATAATGAAGAAATACTGAAGAAATACTGAAGAAATAATGAAGAAATTCTGAAGAAATACTGAAGAAATACTGAAGAAATACTGAAGAAATACTGAAGAAATACTAAAGAAATACTGAAGAAATTTTGAAGAACTACTGAAGAAATATTGAAGAACTATTCAAGAACTGTTGAATAAATATTGAACTATCAGAAGAAATAGTGAAGAAATAGTGAAAAAATAGTGAAGAAATAGTGAAGAAATAGTGAAGAAATAGTGAAGAAATAGTGAAGAAATAGTGAAGAAATAGTGAAGAAATAGTGAAGAAATAGTGAAGAAATAGTGAAGAAATAGTGAAGAAATAGTGAAGAAATAGTGAAGAAATAGTGAAGAAATAGTGAAGAAATAGTGAAGAAATAGTGAAGAAATAGTGAAGAAATAGTGAAGAAATAGTGAAGAAATAGTGAAGAAATAGTGAAGAAATAGTGAAGAAATAGTGAAGAAATAGTGAAGAAATAGTGAAGAAATAGTGAAGAAATAGTGAAGAAAATAGTAAAGAAATAGTGAAGAAATAGTGAAGAAATAGTGAAGAAATAGTGAAGAAATAGTGAAGAAATAGTGAAGAAATAGTGAAGAAATAGTGAAGAAATAGTGTGAAGAAATAGTGAAGAAATAGTGAAGAAATAGTGAAGAAATAGTGAAGAAATAGTGAAGAAATAGTGAAGAAATAGTGAAGAAATAGTGAAGAAATAGTGAAGAAATAGTGAAGAAATAGTGAAGAAATAGTGAAGAAATAGTGAAGAAATAGTGAAGAAATAGTGAAGAAATAGTGAAGAAGAAATAGTGAAGAAATAGTGAAGAAATAGTGAAGAAATAGTGAAGAAATAGTGAAGAAATAGTGAAGAAATAGTGAAGAAATAGTGAAGAAATAGTGAAGAAATAGTGAAGAAATAGTGAAAGTGAAATAGTGAAGAAATAGTGAAGAAATAGTGAAGAAATAGTGAAGAAATAGTGAAGAAATAGTGAAGAAATAGTGAAGAAATAGTGAAGAAATAGTGAAGAAATAGTGAAGAAATAGTGAAGAAATAGTGAAGAAATAGTGAAGAAATAGTGAAGAAATAGTGAAGAAATAGTGAAGAAATAGTGAAGAAATAGTGAAGAAATAGTGAAGAAATAGTGAAGAAATAGTGAAGAAATAGTGAAGAAATAGTGAAGAAATAGTGAAGAAATAGTGAAGAAATAGTGAAGAAATAGTGAAGAAATAGTGAAGAAATAGTGAAGAAATAGTGAAGAAATAGTGAAGAAATAGTGAAGAAATAGTGAAGAAATAGTGAAGAAATAGTGAAGAAAATAGTGAAGAAATAGTGAAGAAATAGTGAAGAAATAGTGAAGAAATAGTGAAGAAATAGTGAAGAAATAGTGAAGAAATAGTGAAGAAATAGTGAAGAAATAGTGAAGAAATAGTGAAGAAATAGTGAAGAAATAGTGAAGAAATAGTGAAGAAATAGTGAAGAAATAGTGAAGAAATAGTGAAGAAATAGTGAAGAAATAGTGAAGAAATAGTAAAGAAATAGTGAAGAAATAGTGAAGAAATAGTGAAGAAATAGTGAAGAAATAGTGAAGAAATAGTGAAGAAATAGTGAAGAAATAGTGAAGAAAATAGTGAAGAAATAGTGAAGAAATAGTGAAGAAATAGTGAAGAAATAGTGAAGAAATAGTGAAGAAATAGTGAAGAAATAGTGAAGAAATAGTGAAGAAATAGTGAAGAAATAGTGAAGAAATAGTGAAGAAATAGTGAAGAAATAGTGAAGAAATAGTGAAGAAATAGTGAAGAAATAGTGAAGAAATAGTGAAGAAATAGTGAAGAAATAGTGAAGAAATAGTGAAGAAATAGTGAAGAAATAGTGAAGAAATAGTGAAGAAATAGTGAAGAAATAGTGAAGAAATAGTGAAGAAATAGTGAAGAAATAGTGAAGAAATAGTGAAGAAATAGTGAAGAAATAGTGAAGAAATAGTGAAGAAATAGTGAAGAAATAGTGAAGAAATAGTAAAGAAATAGTGAAGAAATAGTAAAGAAATAGTAAAGAAATAGTAAAGAAATAGTAAAGAAATAGTGAAGAAATAGTGAAGAAATAGTGAAGAAATAGTGAAGAAATAGTAAAGAAATAGTGCAGAAATAGTGCAGAAATAGTGAAGAAATAGTGAAGAAATAGGGAAGAAATAGTAAAGAAATAGTAAAGAAATAGTGAAGAAATAGTGAAGAAATAGTAAAGAAATAGTAAAGAAATAGTGAAGAAATAGTAAAGAAATAGTGAAGAAATAGTAAAGAAATAGTAAGAAATAGTGAGAAATAGTGAAGAAATAGTGAAGAAATAGTGAAGAAATAGTGAAGAAATAGTGAAGAAATAGTGAAGAAATAGTGAAGAAATAGTGAAGAAATAGTGAAGAAATAGTGAAGAAATAGTGAAGAAATAGTGAAGAAATAGTGAAGAAATAGTGAAGAAATAGTGAAGAAATAGTGAAGAAATAGTGAAGAAATAGTGAAGAAATAGTGAAGAAATAGTGAAGAAATAGTGAAGAAATAGTGAAGAAATAGTGAAGAAATAGTGAAGAAATAGTGAAGAAATAGTGAAGAAATAGTGAAGAAATTAGTGAAGAAATAGTGAAGAAATAGTGAAGAAATAGTGAAGAAATAGTGAAGAAATAGTGAAGAAATAGTGAAGAAATAGTGAAGAAATAGTGAAGAAATAGTGAAGAAATAGTGAAGAAATAGTGAAGAAATAGTGAAGAAATAGTGAAGAAATAGTGAAGAAATAGTGAAGAAATAGTGAAGAAATAGTGAAGAAATAGTGAAGAAATAGTGAAGAAATAGTGAAGAAATAGTGAAGAAATAGTGAAGAAATAGTGAGAGAATAGTGAAGAAATAGTGAAGAAATAGTGAAGAAATAGTGAAGAAATAGTGAAGAAATAGTGAAGAAATAGTGAAGAAATAGTGAAGAAATAGTGAAGAAATAGTGAAGAAATAGTGAAGAAATAGTGAAGAAATAGTGAAGAAATAGTGAAGAAATAGTGAAGAAATAGTGAAGAAATAGTGAAGAAATAGTGAAGAAATAGTGAAGAAATAGTGAAGAAATAGTGAAGAAATAGTGAAGAAATAGTGAAGAAATAGTGAAGAAATAGTGAAGAAATAGTGAAGAAATAGTGAAGAAATAGTGAAGAAATAGTGAAGAAATAGTGAAGAAATAGTGAAGAAATAGTGAAGAAATAGTGAAGAAATAGTGAAGAAATAGTGAAGAAATAGTGAAGAAATAGTGAAGAAATAGTGAAGAAATAGTGAAGAAATAGTGAAGAAATAGTGAAGAAATAGTGAAGAAATAGTGAAGAAATAGTGAAGAAATAGTGAAGAAATAGTGAAGAAATAGTGAAGAAATAGTGAAGAAATAGTGAAGAAATAGTGAAAGAAATAGTGAAGAAATAGTGAAGAAATAGTGAAGAAATAGTGAAGAAATAGTGAAGAAATAGTGAAGAAATAGTGAAGAAATAGTGAAGAAATGGTGAAGAAATAGTGAAGAAATAGTGAAGAAATAGTGAAGAAATAGTGAAGAAATAGTGAAGAAATAGTGAAGAAATAGTGAAGAAATAGTGAAGAAATAGTGAAGAAATAGTGAAGAAATAGTGAAGAAATAGTGAAGAAATAGTGAAGAAATAGTGAAGAAATAGTGAAGAAATAGTGAAGAAATAGTGAAGAAATAGTGAAGAAATAGTGAAGAAATAGTGAAGAAATAGTGAAGAAATAGTGAAGAAATAGTGAAGACATAGTGAAGAAATAGTGAAGAAATAGTGAAGAAATAGTGAAGAAATAGTGAAGAAATAGTGAAGAAATAGTGAAGAAATAGTGAAGAAATAGTGAAGAAATAGTGAAGAAATAGTGAAGAAATAGTGAAGAAATAGTAAAGAAATTGTGAAGAAATAGTGAAGAAATAGTGAAGAAATAGTGAAGAATAGTGAAGAAATAGTGAAGAAATAGTGAAGAAATAGTGAAGAAATAGTGAAGAAATAGTGAAGAAATAGTGAAGAAATAGTGAAGAAAATAGTGAAGAAATAGTGAAGAAATAGTGAAGAAATAGTGAAGAAATAGTGAAGAAATAGTGAAGAAATAGTGAAGAAATAGTGAAGAAATAGAGAAGAAATAGTAAAGAAATGGTAAAGAAATAGTAAAGAAATAGTGAAGAAATAGTGAAGAAATAGTGAAGAAATAGTAAAGAAATAGTAAAGAAATAGTGAAGAAATAGTGAAGACGTAGTGAAGAAATAGTGAAGAAATAGTGGAGAAATAGTAAAGAAATAGTGAAGAAATTGTGAAGAAATAGTGAAGAAATAGTAAAGAAATAGTGAAGAAATAGTGAAGAAATAGTAAAGAAATAGTGAAGAAATTGTGAAGAAATAGTGAAGAAATAGTGAAGAAATAGTGAAGAAATAGTGAAGAAATAGTGAAGAAATAGTGAAGAAATAGTGAAGAAATAGTGAAGAAATAGTGAAGAAATAGTGAAGAAATAGTGAAGAAATAGTGAAGAAATAGTGAAGAAATAGTGAAGAAATAGTGAAGAAATAGTGTAGAAATAGTGAATAAATAATGAAGAAATAGTGAAGAAATAGTGAAGACATAGTGAAGAAATAGTGAAGAAATAGTAAAGAAATAGTGAAGAAATAGTGAAGAAATAGTGAAGAAATAGTGAAGAAAGAGTAAATAAATAGTAAAGAAATAGTGTAGAAATAGTGATTAAATAATGAAGAAATAGTGAAGAAATAGTGACAAATTACAGAATAATTATTACTCATGAAATATTAAAGACATACTTGAATAAATTAAAGAATTTATAAAGCATAGAAATCGAAAAAAGATAAATATAAATTAGAAGATTACTTAAGCCCATGCTTAAATCATAACCATGCTTAAATCATGAACCTTTTGTCAATTTAGTTTGGGGCTTTTGGATTGTATATGGGACCTGAATTGTCGAACTATGCTTTTTTTAGTGTTTAACCCCTTATCAGTTATTTTCATGTGTACCTCTAGAGATTTGTTAATTTTTTCTTTTAAGTTGTACTTTTAAGTTTCTGTATAAGAAATCATGAAAAATTATAAAGCCACCAAATAAAAGTACTCCGCTATATAATCTAACTTTTTAAATTTCTACTCCTGAATTAAATTTTACCAAAAAAGTGGAATATAAAGAATACGTTAAGATTTAAGGTAAAAAACAATTTAGTCAGAACTTAAACATAGAGTTGTTCTTAGATAGAATTCGAAACAAGGCAAGTTAGTCGGATAACTATGAAAGATACGTAACTTATATTATAATTCATAGTTTAAGTAGGTTATTTTAGTCTAACCCAAATATATTTATGTTACCTGATAATCCGTGACATTTGCATACTTTTTCTTCATTTTTCATCACAACCCTCATTCCGATTTCACTATTATGTCTGTAAATACTTTGATTGGTATCACCTAAAAGAACCAAATAAAATGATTAATTAAATTGTATATAATTTTTAAATTTAAATTATAAATTATGCGATAACAAAAATTGGGTTTGTGTACATTTATTTACTTTTCTTCTGTAAACATAAACCCACCTTTTCTTCTGAGTTGAAAAAATCTATAGGTAAAATTTTTTGCAAATTTGGTGTTATCTCCACATCCTCCCCATTGCCAATTGGAAGAGTTGTCAGACTTTCCATGACTAGCACATTTACAGTTCTCTAACTTTCCAGACGCACAAGCTTTTGCTATTAAGTACATGAAGGCTGATGTCGATAATGAATACATAAGAGCAGTCTCTCGGTAAATTTTTCTGAAAAATTTTCGATCTCGTAGACATTGCCATTGTTCGTACCTAAAAAATTATATTTATTAAACAGTTACATATTATAATACATATTTAAACTAAAATGAAGATAATGTTTGGCGTTCTATATTATACTCTTTACAGTTTAACAGACTCCCTTAATTCCCATTTTTAATCAGATTTATTTTAGATTCAATAGGCTTCATACCAGTTAAGTTATTTTAGAATCAAAACTTATTTTTATAAACAAAACTTTATTTTAAATTACAAGAAAATACTGGTTTACTCGACCGAGGTTAAAGCAAGAATGTTAAATGTTAACAAGAATTATCTACAATAAAATATGATATCTGTACATCGTCACTATTATTTATATGATACGGCAAAATGTATTTATATAACTCCTCCCTTCTTAAGAGAAAACAACACCGATTTGAGGTTGTATTCTGATTTATCTTCTTCAGGTTGCTGTGTGGGTTGTTTTATCGTTTTCCTTATGTAGTACTATGCTATACCAACGGAAAGTACAATCAGCATTATTATTACCAAATTAAGTAAATTCCAAACGGCTGGATGAACTTGTTGAATATTCGGCGAGGTTAATCTAGACTGGAGTTGCATTTCATTAATTGATTGGAGGTCAATTGCAGTCAACTGTATGGGTTCTTCTGTATTTTCGGAGTTTCTTCTAAGATTCCACTTGAATTTCGGCAATATAAGTGAATTTGCATTAATTATTTCTTCAGTGCTTCGGAAGGTCGAATTTTCTGTACGAATTTCGCAGCCTTAGGGTATTTGTAGTAAAGTCTGTTTTATTATTAGCATTCTCTTTTTTTTTTTTTCGAAATTTGATTGGTGTATTGACAGGAAAATCGAGAAAAAATTGGTCAATAATTTCTTCAATTATATTGTAAGTTAGGATTGCAGGACTGGCACGGCATCTTGGTTCTTCAGCTTTGATAAGAAGAATGATACAATTTTCATCCGTTATTTCTTCATGGTTTTGACATAAATAAACGTCGTTTAATTTTGGACAGGGAGTTTCTTCATATTGATGACTTGTCGTACCGAGTATTAGGTAGGTTTTGTCAGGAATTATTATGGATTTTTGGTGAAATGTTTAATAGTTATCATTTATTAAAATAGGTAAATGTATGGCAAAAATTATATTTGAGTTTTTCATTATTACTAGAATGCCTGTTAATTGATAATAGTAAAATAGATTTTCAAATCGAAGAATTTTATTTTCTCCATAGAGAGATGCTAAGTGATTTACTAATTTTAACAATTCATCAACTGAAACGATTGATGATAGATTATCTAGGAAATTTATTAAATTTTGACAGTTTAGAATTATTTCATTAAATGCATTTGCGAAAGTTATATAGTTTTAAATATCTTCTATGTGGTTATTTAGTTTTTTAGACCATTCTTTTAGTTTGTTTATAATTAAATGTTGATTTTCATGTAAAATTGTTACTATTTTATTATAATGATCGATAAGATCATGATTTAGAGAGGTTTGAAGTTGCAATGAGTTTTGATTTTTTGTAAGTGCTTCTATTTGATAATTGTATTTAATTTCGTCATCATGATCTAATCTGCCAAAAAGCCATTGGCTTGCTGTGCCTAGACCGTCGAATAGACCATGTTTGTTTTTATTTTTAGTAGTAGTAGTAGTAGTAGTAGTAGTTTTAAGTAAGTATTTAGCGTGTACGAATATATCCTTAATAATAGGTTCATTACATCCTAAACTAGCAGTATTAAGTAACGTTTCTATAATAAAATAATAATTATTTCGTAATTTTGCAATCAATAATTTTGCCTCTATGAAATGTAAGAGTGTATGTTTAGTTTCTATAACTCTCGTTTTTCCTAATTCAAGGGGTAATAGAAATGTATCAAGTTCATGGATTTCAATGTCACAGATTACAGGGATAGGTTAGAGGGAATATTATAATGGTTTTGAGCGTTGTTCTTTTGTTCATGGTCCTGAAAATGTTAATTTTATCGTCGGCTTTTTAACTATTGATTTATGTATTTATTTGTCATTGTCTAATACTATTTTGGTACCTAAATTGCGTTTAACTTTTGATATGGTATGGCGAGGTATGGTTTTATTTCTTTTAGCTTCTCGATTTTTTATGAATATTGTTTGGTTATCTTTGTAGTTAACGGGTTTCATTGCGTTTAATAATAATTTTTTCTTTTTCATTTAATGTACGCTCAGCTATTGTGTCATATAAAGTTACTAGTCTTTTCCATCTTTCTACTATATAGTCAGCTAAAATAATATTGTAGGGTCTTCATTTTGTTACACTATGGATCTAATACAGTTAGCTGTATAATTTGTTTTGGCGTTATATCAGGATTTTCAAGTTTAATTAAACGAGCGTTTTCTAAAAAAAATAATGAAATCGTTCAAATGGGTTATTGCTATTAGAATTACGAGGAGTTGTGAAATGTAACTGAATTTTATAAAGTATGCAAAATGATTGATAGGGAATTAAGGGTTTCTATTAAATATGCCTGTCCATACTCGTAAAACGAATCAAAAATATTTAAAAATTTGGTTTCGATTGTTTGAAACATCAATATAATTCATTTTAAAAGGTTTAGTAGGCGTTAATGTAAGAGAGTATTTCATTTTAGGTGGGTGGCGACCATATTTTACTTGTTGGCAAATTTTGCACCAATTTATATATTCGGTAATGTCATTTATCATATCGGGCCAATAATATTTTAATTTTAAAGCTTCTAACGTCTCATTAATTCCTCGATGACACATTTTTTTTTTCGTGATGATATTTTATAGTTTGTTCTCTATCTTCTACATTTTCTAAATCTTTTACAATATTTTTTGAAAAGACTCATTTATAAGCATAAGTTAAAGCCTGTATTTCGAAAACCCGTAATATTTTATATAATCGTCTTATTTTTATTCAGAGAATCTTTAGTTGTTCTGTATCCTATTCTTATAAAGACCCTGTATACTCAAAATTAAGCGGTCATATTTTAACAGCGCAATCTACATCCTAAAATAGGAGTAGAACATCATATAAACATAGGTCCGAAAACGTTTCTTCTCAGAGATACAGGGTGTTAAAAGTGAAGTCCTGATGACACACTTTTGTAAATATTTTCTAAACGTTTAAAGATAACTAAGTGAAATTTGATACAAATGCTTACCTTTTTACGCTTTTTGATCATCTTTATAAGTGGGTAAATTAGGGGGGCTTAGGGTAAAATTGCCCTAAGTTTTTTTTGACAGTTTTTAACATTTCTGACTATAAAATTTGGAAAACCAATGTTTTCTTTATAATAAAGCAACCTATATTGCATCTCGCTAGGACGCACCATTTTCAAGAGAAAAGCATTTGAAGATTTCTTATTCGAAAGTGTAAATAATTAGTAGGCCTGTGGAATCAGAAATTTTACTTTTTTTTTTATTTGGAAAATCAACGACTAAAGAAATTTTAGAAAATATTTACAAAAATGTGCTATTAGGACTTCACTTGTAACACCCTGTATCTAGAAAACGAAACGTTTTCGGACCTATGTTTACATGAACTTTTACTCCTATTTTAGGATGTGGATTACGCTGTTAAAATATGACCGTCTAATTTCGGGATATCCTGTATACCACAGAAGCCAGTATAAACAATATACTTACATAATAAATATATACACATGTACTAACGAAAATATGCGTATTTTCGGTATATCTTATATTTTTTGTTTTTGTACGAATCCGTTATTTATTTCTAATGTTTTTTTGACAGAAATGTAAGAAGTGACGTCAGTATTGACAACAAATTAAGACCAAAAGCGAAAAATGCCGTCTCAGCTGTTGCCGCTAAAAAGAATCTCGGTGGCAGACTGAGAATAAATATATCGAACGGGACATTCTGCTATTAGACTTTTCATAATACACATATGTATTTCTGTGCTTGCTTTTTAATATTAATATACTGGTGTTTTAAAAGTTTATTAATTAATTTGCTAGTTTTATTTTAAAACCTCGCGTGTCTTCCACGGTCGCGCATGTGAACAATAAATACCTCGAACCTGGCAAGGTGTTCGTGAGACGAACTTGTTTCGTAAAAAAAGTGCATAAAAGTGCATCTCAAAACTTATTCAATAAGTGCAAAAAAAGTGCATCGCAATGAGTACACCTCCGGGGACGCCCCCACGACAAAACCGACATCGTTTTTCGTCGACTTCATCACTTGAATCTATGTGTAGTTCTTCTAAAAGGAAAAGAACTTCGAGAAGTCATCGAAAGAGTGAGATTCATCGGTTACGCAAGCAGGTAAAAAGACTGCAAAAAACGGTAAGTGTACCTTTTAAGACTACATTTCCTATTAGCATGACTGTGAATGAAACATTAATACCAATATTTGAACCTGGCGTGAGTGTATTTGGCGCTGTTGATTGGTTGCGTAAAGTTGACGAGTTGAGACATTTTCATGGATGGGATGATATTATTATAGTTAAGCTAGCAGCAAATCGTTTACGCGAAAACGCGCGAAAGTGTTATGATTCGTTAAAAACATTATGTATGTCGTGGAAAAACTTTAAAGAACAATTACTATTAAATTTTCCACCGCAAACGCGTTTCGGAAAACTACTTGTTGAGGCGGCCACATACAGGCCTTCATTTGGTCAGAATCTAGCCGACTATTGTTATGAAAAAGTGTCAAAATTAAATCAATTGCGTTTGGAAATATTTGAATCTGATCTGATTGACAGCATAATTGAGGGAATTTATGACGAAGTTACGTGTCAGACAGCTAGGGCAGCCAATATACAAACGGTTGGCGAATTGGCGAACTATCTAGGTCACATTGATCTTTACAATGGAAAACATGCTGGTCAATCGACGTCTTTTGGAATTTCCAAGCATGCGAATCCATCAAACGCGCGTTTTGAGCATAGAAAGAGTAGTGGCGTTAACGTTTCTGAACATAAAAAATTCAACCAGAGTTATTTACAGCAAAAAAAGCGAGTTTCTTGTTTCAATTGTAGCGGCAATCATAAAGTTATAGACTGCAGAAAGCCAAAAATTCAATGTGATTATTGTGGTAGAATAGGTCACGTTCAAGCTCAATGCCGCGATAAGATGACAAAAAATAAACAAACTAATAATTCCGGGACGGTAAATGAAATTGTTAATCTAACAGGTTCAAATAAATTGTTTATGAAATCGGCGCGTATAAATGAAAATAATATTAATAGCCTTATTGATACTGGAAGCACGTGCATACTTTTAAAGAGCAGCGTTGTTCAGAAACTTAAGTTACATACCGAAAAGGGATCACCAAAAATTTTAAAATGCTTTATGGGTAACACATTAGACAGCAATATTTTTGTTAACGTAAGAATTACTGTCGACGGAGTTTCGGCGGCAGGGAATGCCATCGTTCTAGACGATAAGTGGATGAATTATGATATTATTATTGGATCCGATTTCCTGGGACAGAATCACGTTGGAATAAGTAAAATTAGAAATACATTAAATTTGTTTTTATTACCAAAAGAAATATCGCAGTCAGTGAATATGATTGAATTTGATGAAAATAAAACATTGGATATCAATTAAATTAATTGTGGTAATATACCGGGAGAGTCAAAAAGAAAATTGTTTGATTTATTGAATCGTTACCGTAATTGTATTGCTTTTTCATTAAGGGAAATAGGTAAAACAAACTTGACAAAGATGCATATCAATTTAACGGTGGATATGCCTATTACATATCATCCTTACCGACTGGCTTATGTAGAAAAACAAATTCTTCAAGCAATGATTGACGAATTATTAGAAAATAATATAATTCGCACGTCAACATCTTCATATGCGAGTCCCGTACTACTTGTTAAAAAAAAGACCAACGATTATAGAATGTGCGTGGACTTCCGCAAATTAAACGCAATAACAACAAAAGATCGATACCCCTTGCCATTAATAGAAGATCAGATCGATCGCTTAGGTAATAATAGATACTTTACGGGACTGGATTTGGCTTCTGGGTACTATCAGGTCCCTATGGATGAAGATTCTATCAGTAAAACTGGCTTTGTTACTCCCGATGGACACTTCGAGTTTTTGAGGATGCCGTTTGGCTTATCTAACGCTCCGGCAGTGTTCCAGAGATTAATAAATAATGTGCTGGGAGAGTTAAAAAACACGATTGCGTTTCCTTACATCGACGACGTAATTATCCCCTCAGATACTATTGAAGAAGGTATGCAACGACTAGAAATGGTTCTAGAGAAATTTAGTGTGAATGGCCTTACCCTGAAATTGACTAAATGCTATTTCTTCCAAACTAAGATTGACTACTTAGGAAGAGAAATATCATTTGACGGTGTCCGACCAGGCACCAGGAAAGTGGAAGCAGTGTTAAACATGGCAAATCCAGCTAATGTCAAACAAGTTCGAAGATTTTTAGGTTTGGCTGGATATTTTCGTAAATTTATCCGTAACTATGCTAATGTCGTAGAGCCATTGACTAGACTGTTGAGAAAGGATATACCTTGGACTTGGAATGATGAACAGAATCTTGCTGTTGCGCAAGTGAAGAAGGTGTTAGTAACAAAACCCCTATTGGCTATATTTGATCCTGAGCTATTAACGGAGTTACATACAGATGCCAGCTCCTTAGGCGTCGGAGGAATTTTGATGCAATTCAAAAATGGCGAGAAAAGAGTGATTGGTTATTTCAGTAAACAGACCAGTCCACAACAGAGGATGTACCACTCATATGAGCTGGAGACCCTTGCGGTGGTATTATCATTTCAATACTTTCGAGTATATTTGGTTGGTATAGCATTCAAAGTCGTCACGGACTGTAACGCGCTAAGAACAACCATGATTAAAAAGGATCTGTTACCCAGAGTTGGACGATGGTGGTTACAGATTCAAGATTACAACTTCCAAATAGAATATCGCGCCGGTAGTCGAATGTGTCATGTTGATGCACTGAGTCGACTTTATGATGCTGAGGCAATATGTGCTGTTGACTTGACAGAGGCCGATTGGATAGAAGCGGTCCAGTCACAAGATGAAGAGATAAGTTTGGTTAAGTCCATAATAGGGTATCAACAGAGAAATCATGATAACAAACAGTATTTTGATAGTTTTTCTCTGAAAGATGGAAAAGTGTACAAAAAGCTGGATGATGGTAGAATCGCATGGGCAGCTCCAAAGGGATGTCGTTGGCAAATATGTCGTTTATGTCATGATGAATCCGGTCATTTCGGTTTAGAGAAAACCCTAAAACGCATTTCTGAAAATTATTGGTTTGCTCGAATGAGAGATTTTGTAAAGAAATACATTAAGTCGTGCTTGCAGTGCAGCTACTACAAGCATCCTACAGGTCGAAAAGAAGGTCAATTATACCCTGTGGAAAAAGTTCCAACTCCATTCCATACGCTGCATGCTGATCATATTGGCCCCTTCGAAACTAGCGAAAAGGGAAATAAATATTTACTAGTGATCGTTGATGGATTTAGTAAATTTGTAATCATTGAACCAGTCAAAGATACAAAGACAAAAAGTGTAATAAAAGTTTTCAGAGAAATAATGTACTTATTTGGAGCTCCAAATCGATTAATAACAGACAGAGGTACTGCATTCACGGCACAAAAGTTTAGCATATTCTGCCAGGCCTACGGAATAAAACATATATTAAATGCGGTAGCTACTCCAATGTCAAATGGACAGTGTGAACGTGTTAACCGAACCGTATTAAACATTTTAGCTACAACTGCCGCTGGAAGCGAAGAAAATAAGTGGGACACCTTTGTTAAGAAAATACAAAGTATCGTCAATTGTACCGAGAACAAGACCACAGGCTTGAGTCCTTTGGAAATTCTTGCAGGGTACAAGCCTCGTAATATAGCAGAAACGCAGCTTCTGAGTGCAGTAGGCGGGCAGTTGGAACGATTAGACTTGGCCGAGATTCGGTCAGAGGTCAAAAGAAAAATTGATGATGACCAACGTGTCCAGAAGGAGCGATTCGATCGAGCTCGTGCTAAAGCAAAAAAGTATAAGATTGGTGACGTTGTAATGGTACTCAAAACAGATAATCCGGCTACTGGTAGCAGTAAAAAGTTACTGCCAAAGTTCAAAGGACCATTTAGGGTCATCCGAGTTATGTTCAACGACCGGTATGAAGTCGAAGATGTAAGAGAGGGTATGAAACGATACCGAACGGTGATGGCAGTAGATAAGTTGAAGCCATGGATAACCCTAAAAGGTGAGCTAGTTCAAGGGTAAACGGCCCTGAACAAAAAGTACCACCAAAGAGTTCAAAAGGAACTTAAGGACAAAAGGTCCTGAACAAAAGGTCCCACCAATGAGTTTAAAAGTAACTCATGGATAAAAGGTCCCAATAAAGAGTTCAAAAGGAACTCGAGGGCAAAAGGCTCTGGACAAAAGGTCCCACCAACGAGTTCAAAAGGAACTCATGGACAAAAGGTCCCACCAAAGAGTTCAAAAGGAACTCAAGGGCAAAAGGCCCTGGACAAAAGGTCCCACCAACGAGTTCAAAAGGAACTCATGGACAAAAGGTCCCACCAAAGAGTTCAAAAGGAACTCAAGGGCAAAAGGCCCTGGACAAAAGGTCCCACCAACGAGTTCAAAAGGAACTCATGGACAAAAGGTCCCACCAACGAGTTTAAAAGGAACTCATGGACAAAAGGTCCCACCAAAGAGTTCAAAAGGAACTCATGGACAAAAGGTCCCACCAAAGAGTTCAAAAGGAACTCAAGGGCAAAAGGCCCTGGGCAAAAGGTCCCACCAATTAGTTCAAAAGGAACTCATGGACAAAAGGTCCCACCAATGAGTTCAAAAGGAACTCGTGGGCAAAAGGCATAAGACAAAGGTCTCATCAATCTGTTACTATAACGGATTTTTGTTTCTGTTAATTATTTTTGGTATTTCAGATGCCGACGGTGACAATCCTGAGGACAGGATATGAGACCGGATGGCCGAATGTAAGAAGTGACGTCAGTATTGACAACAAATTAAGACCAAAAGCGAAAAATGCCGTCTCAGCTGTTGCCGCTAAAAAGAATCTCGGTGGCAGACTGAGAATAAATATATCGAACGTGACATTCTGCTATTAGACTTTTCATAATACACATATGTATTTCTGTGCTTGCTTTTTAATATTAATATACTGGTGTTTTAAAAGTTTATTAATTAATTTGCTAGTTTTATTTTAAAACCTTACAGAAAAATACCAAAAATATCAATTTCAGGGAGTAGGAAATATTTGTAATTGATTAGTACTTTTTGTAAATCAAGAATTAAATTTACTTATATTTAGATAAAGTTAAAATTTAAATTTAAACGTTATAATAATATTTTGCTAAATAATAATTCGAATTTAAAGAATTTTTTAAAAAATTGACTACGCCACTGGATTCTTTTCAAAAAAGTGCTTAAAAAAGATGTAAATTATTTTATTTCGCTTTCATAAATAAGTGAGATAATGCCATATAATAAAAATTTGAAAAAGAGAAGTTTTGTTTATAACTCGAAAACAAAAGACAATAGCCAATGTTGAAAATGCCATAATATTAAATATAATATTAAACTGAAATATTGTAAACTTACCTAAAGTGAAATAAACAAGCTTGAATGGTCATTGTTTTATAATCTTTTAAAAGTTGCGCCAGGCCTTTTCTTTTTAAACAAAGAAACTTTTGGTGTCTAAACCCTCTGAGCCATCTACAAATTCCTCGTTTATTTGACGTTACGTTTAATTGAGAGTTATTTTTGGTAAACAGAGCAGCAATAAAAGATCTTCTTCTGTCATTCTTCGATATTTTCCTAGAACGTATTAAAATAGTTATAATAATTATTATAATTGACATGGGCATGGCGAATAGTATATAAGAGTAGAACCAGAAATATTGTATGGTCATAAAAGACCAACCACTTGAGTTATCATCAGGCGGTTGCCTCTACGCAGAGACGTACCTACTCTAGCCATTAAGTTCTGTTCTATAGGTATAATGATAAATCGCTTGAATATAATTTAGAAATATTTAATTAAATATAATATGTGATATACAGTGTCACATATAAAAGGATTTTTTCCTAATTGCTGTAGATAAATTTTGCTGCTTCAAAAATGATAACCAATGACATAGAGTTTATATAGACTGCTTATCCATATACAAACAAGACGATGAAAAGCGGGTCATATTGCAGTCGTCCATATTGTCTTGTCGAATGCTCACCAGGCAGAATAGGTCTGACCCAAATGAGTTTAAAATTGATATTTCATTAAAGTAGGAATTTAATTTAAAAAAATAATTACCTAAATTTTTACTTCAAGACAAAAGCTTGCGTTAGGTAGGTATTTTAAAAATAATATATATTTGTATAAGTCGTAAAGTCTAGTTTCATATTTTCAAAACATTTTAAGAGATCTAAAACAATTTTGAACATAGATTTAAACAATTTTACACTCATGTATAAACATCTTTAATAATAATAATGCATGTAACTAACTTTAGGCCACTGTATAGTGGCACTATAGGCGAGTTCGGATAGTCAGGGGCTGGAGCGGGACAAATTTTAGGGTGCTTTTAAATGACATTTAAGCGTGTTAAACTGTCACTAATCGGACTAAACTGAACGCTAAAAGAGTTGTTTGGAGTTAAAAGTGTTAAAGGAGTTAAAGGAACTTGGCAGACCGAACGCAATGTATTTGGACACTTGATTATTCATTTAAAATTTATTTCGCATATTAAAAGCAGATATGCAAAAACTGAATGAACATTTTAAAGATTTTACTAAAAGTAAGTTGTTTTTTTTTTGTATTCTAAATTTTGTTCCCTTCGGACAATTATGGATTATTTAGGCGGTGAATGTAAATGTTTTGATGAATAAAAATTAGACTCTAAAGGAATAGTTCCGGTACATAATAAGCTTCCACCAGTGGAATTCTGACCATCATAATAAAATTGACTGCAAAGCGCAATCTTATTGGCATGTTCTTTAGAATAAATTGCAATTAATTTATAAATAAAAAAAGTTAAAACTATTACATCGTTTATTATTTATTGTGTTTGTTAGATCTAGTTTGAGTTTGCTTGTCTATTTTGGTCTCCTATTTACTTAAACAAGATCTTATTGAAAATGTTCAGCGGCCGTTCTTCAAATATGATAAAGAGGTTATCTGTTAAATGTGTTTTTTTTTACTCTGGCTGTGTTTTAAAAGTTGAAGTTCAGTGAATACCTAATTAATTGTATTTTAAGCGATATATTTCTTCAATACTTTATTGTATAATGGCACTAAACAATCGAAATTGTTCTGTGTTTGGTTACAGTAGTAGAAAAGGTGTATGTGAAATCTGTATACCCATTTATAAAATGGTAATGTTAGTACCCGTAACGCCATCTATGTTTCAGCTTTATATAAGTGTTTCTCCTGTCACAGACATCTGTAGTCTGTGACATCATAGGATTATAGATTATACATAGATGCCGCCACGAGTACTAAATAAGAGTCAGATGTGAGATGCGCAGTGTCACCAGGGTTGCCAATCTGTGAGTAATTCCTCACATTTGTGAGTAATTTACTAGTCTGTGAGTAATTTTGCGAGTAAAGGGCAATTGTGAGTAATATGTGAGTAATCGGGAAGTCAGCGTGGGTATATTCATGGTAGTTAGGCAAAATCCTGATCGCATAATTTATTAAAACCGTGTTCTTTTAAAAAAATTTAATATAAGCATTGTATATGATATAAGCCTAATTTTACCCCCTTGCACTTTTAGCAGTCATAACAATTTTGTAGTTTTAAAATTGCAGCGTCCTCTATTGCTTGGTCAATGTAATAGAGTAAAAGTGATTTTGATGTTTTACAACCCCGAGGTGTCTTGTCGATAGTGATAGTCCCATTGGAACTGTCCCAATCATCGATTAATATCTTTTTTTGTTCATTTGTATTAGTAGATTTTTTTTAAGTATTAGAATTAATGATTTATTATGATTTCGCCCATTAATAAAGAATATACTCTAATTCTCCATCCTTTTTTGTTTAGCTGATTACAAAGATGTTTTATATACAGGGTGATTCATAACTATTGGGACATAGGCTAAGGGCAGGTTATTTGTACCAAAATATGGCGATAGGGCCAAATATACCTCAATAAAATATTGCTGTGGAATAAGATACAGGACGTTAAATAATAATAATAATAATAGTAATAAAAATAGATTATAATCTAACAGCTAATTATTTGACACTGCAAAGCAAACTTTTCATAAATGAAATATTTTGTGAGTTGTTCAATTGCGTTTTTCTAGAAAACGGGTAAAATTTTTAATCAAATATACTAAAAAGATTCGTAAAAAAAGCTACCACTTAATTTCATCATCAGGAATCATTCACGTGGCGCCTTCTGTAACAAAATGTGAAATAATATATAAAATATTATTCCTTGTCGAAAAATATGCCTTTGTACCAATTTTGATAACACTTCATAAATATACAGTGACATCAGAAAAAAACGAAAAAACAGAATTAAAATTTAACACCCTGTATCTTATTCCACAGCAATATTTAATTAAGGTATATTTGGTCCTATGACATATTTTTGTGCAAATAACCTGTCCTTAGCCTATGTCCCAATAGTTATAAGAATCAACCTGTATATTACTTGGTTATTAAAATAGTGAATGCACAGAAAAAAGGTGCATCTGTTTTGACTCTTGTATGTTCTGAAAATTGCTCTTTTGATGATTAGCAACATTGCACAGTAGTAAAATAAATTCAAACAAAAGTGCAAGAGTACAAAATATACAATTTATATAAAAAAACTAGTAATATTGATATTTTGAAATTGTGAGTAATTGGCCGTGTTCATCGTCGTCAAACATGTTTTAAAAGCAAAGAAACATGTTTCATAAGCGGTTGGAATGACGCTGAACGATCATTTTTGTTTACGATTTGTTTTCTCAACCTCAAATCTGTCAAAAAATGGAATGACATTCGGTTGGCACAAAGAAGGTTATGTGAATTGTTTACTTTAGTATTTTTTAAAAAAATTTGAGTTGAATTGATTTGTACAGTGAATTAGAGTTTATATAAGTACCCTTCTGAAAGTGATTATGACAATTTTACGGCGAAAAACCTACAACTTGTATTATTTTGGGTTGTAAAGTCATGATGTTTTTATTGCCTCTATGGATCTTGAATTCTACATACTTAGACTAATCAAAGAAATTTTAATAGTCATTTTATTAAAGGTAAAATACATTTTTTTGACACACAAATAGAAACATACTGTAACTAGATCATACTTTGAAGAGCAGAATGAGAATGCTATTTATTGTGTATTGTGTTTAATCAACTGTCTGGTCTGCACCAATAAATTAAAGTAAAGGAACTCATGATACTAATAACATACATCTCAAAAAGTGATCTTTTTACATATATCAAGGATACATAAAAGTGTATAATAATAGAGATATCAAGTATGACTTTCTTATTTTTAGGAAAACAGAGTTCCTTTGAAGTTAGTAATCATTTAAACTGGACTCCAGCCCAGAACTTGAGGCATGTGTCTCAAACCAGTTCAAAACTAACTGAATCGAAAAAGGAGGAAGAGATAAAAATGAAAATCAACCTGAAGTAAACTTTTATTTTTGAGTCATACCTAACATCATAAGTCCCGCTTTAGGCAAGACAACCCCACTTTCAAGTTATGTGTACCATTGTCCCCAAAGAATGCAAGAATGTCCCGCTTTAAAAGAAAACGTGATCTGCTTCAAAACATTTTTCAAAAAAGAGTGGTATCTCATATAAATATGCGCTAGTGAAAAAACTTACTTAATTTGAAGTATCAGTATTGAAAGCCAAGCATAACATAAACAAGACACGTCAACAGTTCCACTCCCATTTAAAAACTAAAATATAGAAAATCAGCCCACTAAACAAGTTTTATTTCGCTTTTCTAATTTTTAATAAATAAACATAAAATTATGTTATTTCACTTATTTTTAATACATTTTTTTATTATATTATTGTTTTATTTTTACTACAATCTTACTGTTGTTATTCTACATTAAAAATAATGAAAAATTGCTGTTATGCCTTTTAAAATTTACAGGCTTCTTGCTGTGAGGTAAGAAATGATAACGCTTTATTACAAAAACCGAAAATTGTTAAAATAATCCCTATCTAATGCTTTACTTATTTTTTTACAAAGTATTTTTTATGTAGGTACTTAGGTGTTATACATTTTTGGTCATTGCTAATATTCCTTGAGTCTGAATTAATAAAATTTGTCTAGTATTATAGTTATACATACCTTGTCGACAAACTACATACAGTAATTCTTTTATAGGAATGATATATTTTGTATTGGAAATTAATAAATATACAAATTTAATGTTGTCATATAGGTAGAGCGACTTATTAGCAAAAATTATTTGAAATGTATACAGTAATGAGGTATTTTTTTATAGGTTCAACAAACCAAGGTGGACCCTTTTTAATATAATTGCTTATATTTAATTTATTTTGTAAATAAAATGTCATACTTTTATTATTTATTTTTTAATGCCCTATATACATTACATGAAAACAAAAAACATCGGTGCAGTTTTAATAACAAAACTCGTCTGATTTGAATAACTCTGTGCTAAAACTATATAATATGTAGGTATGTTATATTATCCATATTCCTTACTGGTGGAATCCCATTAATGTCCAAATGAAATAATTTAAGCATACGTGTATGTATCTACGTCTGGAATTAATTTTATTTTCTTCAAACAGGTACCTCCATAAATACAATATTATATTAAAATACAA